TTCTTCTTCGTAGAGAGAGAGAGAGAGAGAGAGAGAGAAACAGAGAGAGATCAAACCTGACGCGGTTTAATCCGGTATTCCGAAACTGTCTCGCCATTCCAACCATTCTTCTTTTTCTTCTTCTTCGAATTCGATAAGATTACATTTTATACAAAGCGAGGAAAATTCGTTTGCAGTACACGCCACTCGTGGAGAAGGAGAACGAGGATCTGGTCCATCATATAATACTGTACGAATGCGCCTCGACCCTGCCAATCCTGGGCCAACACGCGAGAATAGTCGGGGCGCCTTGTTACAGTCCAACGATGCCACGAGAATGGGAGTCCTGTTTGCAACCGGTGCTGGCCTGGGCTCGCGGCAGCACAGGTAAACGACTCGAAACTCGTGAAATTCGTTAACCCTTTCGCGACTATGATCGACTATAGTCTGCATAAAATGTCACTGAGGTACTATGAATAGCTATAGTTGCTCTGCATAACATGCTATTGAGGTACTACGAGTGACTATAGCCTGCATAAGGTGTCATTGAGGTACTACGAATGACTATATAATTGCTCTGCACAAGATGCCACTGAAGTACTACAGCCGATTATAGTCTTCACAAAATTAAGGTACTACGAATGACTATAGTCGTTCTGCATAAGATACTACTGAGATTCTACGGCCGACTATAGTCTTCTTAAGTAAAGTACTATGAATGACTATATAGTTGTCCTGCATAAAATGTCATTAATATACTAGAAATGACTATAATTGATCTGCACAAGATGCCACTGAAGTACTACTACAGGCGATTATAGTCTTCACAAAATTAAGGTACTACGAATGACTACAGTCTTTCTGCATAAGATACTACTGAGATTCTACGGCCGACTATAGTCTGCTTAAGTAAAGTACTATGAATGACTATATAGTTGTCCTGCATAAAATGTCATTAATATACTAGAAATGACTATAATTGATCTGCACAAGATGCCACTGAAGTACTACTACAGGCGATTATAGTCTTCATAAAATTAAGGTACTACGAATGACTATAATTGCTCTGCACAAGATGCCATTGAAGTACTACAGGCGATTATAGTCTTCACAAAATTAAGGTAGTACGAATGACTATAGTCGTTCTGTATAAGATGCTGCTGAGGTACTACGAGTGACTATAGTCTGCATAAGGTGTCATTGAGGTACTACGAATGACTGTAGTCGTTCTGCGTAAGATGCTGCTGAGATTCTACGGCTGACTATAGTCTGCATAAGATGTCACTGAAGTTCTATGGGCGACTATAATCTGCATAAGATGTCACTAAAGTATTATGAATGATTATAGTTGCTCTGCGCAAGATATTGAGATACTACGGGCGACTATAGTCTGCATAACATGTCATTGAGAAACTACGAATGACTATAATTACTTTACACAAGATGCTACTAAAGTATTATGGGCGACTGTATATCTGCATAAGACGTCACTGAAGTACTACGAATGACTATATAGTTGCTCTACATAAGATGCCATTAAGATACTACGAATGACTGTAGTCGCTCTGCTACTGAGGCGACTATAATCTGCATAAGATGTCACTGATTACGAATGACTATAATCGCTGAAGTACTACGGACGACTATAATTGCGCTGTGGCATAAAGTGCCACAGAGGTACGACTGTAATCGGTCTACATAAGATACTGCGTACTATATGTTTGAAGTTATTGCACATCGAGTATTTCTCTGGAAATGCAACTTCGATATTTTTCTTTTTCAATAAACACCGCAACGAGGTTTCTCGAGCACATTTTTGGTGCGGCGGCTCGTTAAGCGGGAGTGAAAAGTTGCTCGCGACGAAAGAGTTAATAGTAGTAATCCGTTACAAGCGTGTGTGTGTGTGTTACAGGAGAATGGCTTCCGGAGCACGTCGGCATTTCCATTGCGGAGCATTCAGAAGGTTCCTATTACATGCTGGAAGTGCACTATAATAATCCTGGCATGAGAAAGGTGGTGGATAGCAGCGGGGTACGCCTTCACTTGACTCCGAAACTTCGTCCCCAGGAGGCGGGGATCCTCGTCGCTGGGGTTGCCGTGAGCCCTCTTCATCTCATTCCTCCCAAACAAAAGGAATACGCCACGGCGGGATACTGCACCCCTCATTGCACGCACACGGTACAAACAACCTAACCTTCTCTCATATCGATTCTCTCATAGAGATGCCTTCGCTATATACAATATATATTTATATACAAACACATTCTATTTTTCCAGATGTTCCCAGAGAGTGGCGTCAACATCGTTTCGGTGGTGCTGCACTCCCATCTGGCCGGTCGCCGGCTAAGCCTGAAGCATATTCGGCAAGGCAAAGAGTTGCCGAGGATAGTTCAGGACAATCACTTTGATTTCGAGTACCAGCAGTCTCACACTCTGGAGAAGGAAGTGAAGGTTCTGCCGGGCGACGAATTGGTGGCCGAGTGCGTTTACGGAACTCTGGACAGAACGAAGCCTACCCTGGGAGGATATGCAGCGTCCCAGGAGATGTGTCTGGCCTTCGTGGTGCACTATCCGAGAACACCGCTCGCTGCCTGCTACAGCATGACACCGTTGAAACATCTGTTCAAAACTTTGGGGGTGTACAGCTTCAAAGGCGTCACCATGGACCATTTGGAGAAGCTTTTCCTAACGACCAGGTAAGTAATTAAACACTTGGATAAATTCTACTTCTATCCTAAGTTTTGTAATTACCAGAACGTAATTAATCTTTCTTAGAACGGATGCTGTAACCATTCCTTCGACCGGCCAACAACAACTTCCTATCTACCCCGCGACGAGGCCTAGCGAGGACGTCGACGAGGAGCTCATAAGGGAGGCCAAGTCGGCGTTGAGGGCCGTGAAAGATTACACCCTGGAACAGGATAACGAAAATGTTTTCTCCAGATTGATCATCGAGGAGCCGGAAGAGTTCAGAGGTATCTAATACGTACTTCGCAAGATTGATCTTTGAATCGTCGTTAACAAGATCGTTTTCGTTCGAAATTTCGTGCAAAGGTCGAACTTTGGCGGACCACATGCTGGCGTTACCCTGGACGGAGGAACTTCTCGCAAGAGCTATCGAGCAGAACCTGTATCATGGAAGGCACATGACATTTTGTAGAAAGAGGGACGATAAGCTTGCTCTGGTACGTAAAATACACACCTTCGTACGTACCTCGATTTATGTAACGGTAAAAATCATCGATCGATCGATTTCTCCTTCACAGCCGGCGGACATACAAACGTTTCCTAATTACACGGCATTGCCGGAAGTAAATGAAACGATGTGCACGGAAATGGCGAAACTATCCAATGTCGCATCCTCGGGAATCTGGTGCTTCGACATCGCCACGTTCCTCGCGATTCTAATCGTGGCAATCGTCCTTTCCTAAAATTAAAATTCAAACAACTTATTCGCTGTACATTATAAAAAAAAAAAAATTACAACGCCTCACACTGTTCGAAACGGTGTTAAGAAATGAGGGAAATGGAAGAAAAGAGACAATTAATAATAATAATTCAGGGACAATTTCTCTCTTCGCCGATGAGAGACGACAAAATTTTCGAAAAATTTTGACGGTCCGATTTATACATATATATATATATATAGAAATATAATATAATATATATATAATGTAATAATATAATGTAATGTACAATGTAAATATATCGTCTACTTATTTATAAGATTATCCGCGCTACGAGCCTTTCCTGTATTTTATATGGATTTTGTATAAAAATAAAATAAAAAAAAAAATAAATAAATAAACCAGAATGGCTCTATTCATTGCAAATTTTCCACACCTACGATACGAAACCGATATATTAAATTTAGTAATTTAAAATATTTAAACGAAAATAATCGAACGAACGAAGTTAAACGTTCCAAGCCCAAAGACAAAATGGAATATCAAGAGGGGGGAGGGGAGTGAAAAATCCGGATTGATAGATGACTGGTTCGAAGCTCGTCCACGCGGCAATTGGATACAGCAGAGCGATATATCAGTCGCCGCACACAGGTGTCCGGATTCGCAATTTTCCGGATGGTTAACCAATTACGGGGGCGTTCGCAATACTCTTCTCGACCCGATTTCATTCATGGTGATTTTCATCGGGGGTCCCATGTGGTCGGTGCTGATAAGCACTGAATTGGACCGGTATCGAATTGCGGTGGAGTTCTGCCGGGTATAAAAGCCCGGTTCCTTGGGACACGGAGCATCAGCAGCTCTCCAGCGCTCCGAGGAGCGACACGAGGAATCCTACGAGACATCCATTGGATCCAACCAGTCGTCCTACACCAGCGAGGTGAGTCTGGCAAAATTGTGAAACGATAATTCTTTTAAATGGTTGGACTGAGAAACCTTGTTTGACGAAGATGCGGCGTACACGGCACGTCGCGTTACCAGTGAGGGCTTGGCACTACGTCGGCCTTCTGGTGGTCTCCCTCGCCTGCCTCACCTTGGGCCTCGTCTCCAGGGACAAGGAAGGCCGTGCAGGAAGTTTGGCGGGACCTGAATTAAAACACCAAGCGCCTCACGAGTAAACACTTAGCATCGAAAACTCTTGATCAATTCACTCGATGAACGCTCATATAAACAATATACTCTTTGGTCCGCAGAGTGGATGCCTGCCCCAACTTGACCCCTTTCACCAAGATGCCTTCTTGCTCGAGCTTCGAGCAAGGCCAAACCAGGATTTCGACGACGACCATTGGAACTTCTGTCGCACCGAGACTGTCCCGATCTCGTAGCTTGGATCGCGTCTCCAGATCTCGAGAAGATGCTAGGAGCGTGGAGAGATCGGATAGACGGGGGACGAGGATCGAGAACAATTTCCAAGACCGCGTGAGACTCGATCCTTCGACTCGAAACTCGAGGGTTGCGCAAGATGTTGCCGAGAGAAGGTCGCTCGAGAGGTCCACCGATTCGAACAGGCGACGAGAAATAAACGGACGAGTAGATGATTCGCGAGAACGTCTCGCACGATCTTTGGAACGAGTAGCGTCTACAGGCTTCCGTCGAGAGAGGAACGATCGATCATCGAGGGATAGACGTATGCAGTTGACGATCAGACGCGATTCTAGATTGGAGGAAAATCGTAGATCTCTTAGCAGATTGGAAAGACAAGGAGAAGTAGCTGGTGAGCGAGAAAGAGTTGGTCGATTGGATCGTCGTATGGATGCGAGGTCGAATGAACGACGAGACTCCTTGCTCAGATCGTTAAAGCGAGATGAAATGGAACGACGAGAGAGAAACGACAGACTGAATTTGGCTCGTGAACGACGCGATTCTCGACTCGGCAGGGCATCTGAACGAGTTATTCGGGATTCGTCTCGTGAGCGAAGCTCAGAACGACGAATGCTTGTAGACTCTGAAAGAAATTCGTTCGAAAGGCGTTCCACCCCTGTCGAATCGAGGAATCGTGAAGCTGATCGCAGACTCGCAGAGCAGAGAGCTAATCGTCGACTCGTGGAACAGAGAACGGATCGCCGACTCGTGGAACGAAGAGCTGATCGTCGACTTATGGAACAAAATGTTGATCGTAGACTTTCCGAAGAAAGGGCTGACCGTAGACTTATTGAAAGAAGGATGGATCGTCAAGTTATGGAACGAAGAACCGATCGTCGTCTCATGGACCAAAGAGCTGATCGTCGATCTATGGAACGAAAAGCTAACGAACGTCTCGTGGAACAAGAACTGATCGTCGACTCATGGAACAAAAAGCCAACCAACGTCTGATGGAACAGAGAACTGATCGCCGACTTATGGAACAAAAACCTAACCAACGTCTGATGGAACAGAGAACTGATCGCCGACTTATGGAACAAAAACCTAACCAACGT